GTAACGCTATTTTTCAGGGCATTATCATTTGCAGAAGCCCGAGGTCTTCCATTAACTGCCCGACGTAGGAGGGGAGTTCAAAAGACCGAGGGCTTCTGCAAATGGTAATGCCTGAAAAATAGCGTTACCGTTATTATAGCTAAAATGGATGGAATTTGTTATCAAATATAAAGAAAAAAACAGTATCGGTTTTGAAACATTTACTGCAATCAACACGAATGTCACTGACCCACTTTTACAAATATGGAAACGTCATAGAACAAACCAGATGACGTCACTATTGAACGTGACGTCACCTATCCCTATCCTATGACGTCAACTAACAAAGGGCGTGATAATGGCCCGTCGTCAAGCAATATGAGGGCATTATCAAGTTGCAGGGGCCCGCTCATTTCTGATAACATGCGGGCGGTTTCATGATACTTCTATCCATTTTAGCTATAATAGCTAATACATACGAGGGCTGTCGGGTAGCCTAGTGGTTAAAGCGTTCGCTCGTCACGCCGAAGACCCGGGTTCGATTCCCGACATGGGTACAATGTGTGAAGCCCATTTCTGGTGTCCCCCGCCGTGATATTGCTGGAATATTGCTAAAAGCGGCGTAAAACCATACTCACTCACTCACTAATACATACGATTGTTGGTGAACACAACAAGCTAGGATGTTTGTTTTGTACTTTTTTTGGTCAGTGGATCAACACAAACCTTTATCTCTGAGTTAGTGAGTGAGTATGGTTTTACGCCGCTTTGAGCAATATTCACGCAATATTACGATGGGGGACAACATGAATGGGCTTCACATGTTGTACCTGTGCGGGGAATTGAACCGAGGAATTGAACCAGGGACTTCAGCGTGACGAGCGAACGCTTCAACAACAAGGCTACCCCGCCGCCCACATTTGTACTATTAACTATTATGTGTCAGGGTGCGTCAGTAGGAAAGTATACATGGCAGATCTAACCGGGCATATCATCTTGGAAGCAATTGCCCGCAGTTTGAAATGCAGATAGTTAGTGTATCTCTTAGTCGAGCTATGACTTTCACAAGGACGCCGATCCAGACGGGAACAAAGACTTGCCTGAACTTTGTTGGTTGTCTCGAACACCGGATAACTCGAACATTTTTCCAGGTTCCCACGACTTCGAGATTCGACTGTACATACTTTCATAATTACATATCACTTTGAGTTAAGAGAGTTTATGAAAAATACTCTGTTTGTGGAAGGTGATGTCGGATGTCACTGATGATGTTACCGCACGCCATTATAGAACTAAAATTTGGTGTAATTTGTAGCTGTTGATATTCAATTTCAACCTGTTATCACATTATTCATTTCTGCTTATTATGAGCTTATCGGCCCATTTTCAAATAGAATGATAAAATTCCGCGTTAGAATTGGTCTTACGACAACCCATGCTTGTTGTAAGAAGCGACTAACGGGATCGGGTGGTCAGACTCGCTAACTTGGCGGATGGATGTCATCGTATTGCGTGGATCGATGCTCATGTCAATCAGTGGACTGTCTGGTGCAGGCTCGATTACTTACAGACGGCTGTCACACAGCTTGAATATTGCTGAGAGTTGCGTTAAACAACAACCAAAAAAATAACATGCCAGTTAGGGTAACGACATGTACCGCCATGTTACGTCTTTTGGTATATGACGCGGCCGGGGATCGAACCCCGACCTTCCACTCTCCACTAGACCACGGAGACGGCACTTCCCAAAACCTTCACCCAGGCTACACGTTAGAATATCATACCACCCACGATGCTGCTGACATACATAAATTATGATTGCCATCTATATCTAACTTTCTTTCTGACAATCCATTCACCAACGAATGCAATATACCCATTGAATAACACGTTATCACATTTCTGAAAAGATCGATTTTCTATTTTGTTGAGTTCCATCGCCTAAACATGATCTCGATAATGCATGACTGAATCTGATTGATGGCTGTAATAGCATTATGCTCAAAGACAGATATCACCTGACGTATCAATAATTAATCAATCAGTATTGATGTGTCGATTAGCCTAAACCGGAAGGAAAACTGTGACGAAGTATTTTTATTTGAAGTATCAATACCCGAAAGAATCGTGTAATATTTTGTTACACTATCGAGATAATGATTTCAACACACTTGTCCAGCATTACAGCGAAAGAGGCTTGTTTTACGCCGCGCTGAACATAACCTCGGTTCTATATAGCACGGGGGAGGAAACCCCGAGGTGCACGTGATCCAGGCATGAATGTACAATGACCAACTGACCGGGAAACAACTGAATCAATTTGAGAATTTGTTGTATGTGGTGAGTGAAAATGGTTTTTACGCTGCATTTTAAGTATTCTAATATTGTCAAAGCAGGGACACGGGGAATGGGTTTCTCACACAATGTATTCATGTAGGGAATAAAACATGCATCACTGGTCGAGATGGTTGTATGCACTATACACACGTATATATTAACGCCGCACTCAGCAATATTCGAGCTATATGACGGCGGTCTGTTGATAATCAGACATTGACATCATGAGCATCGATCCACGCAATTGGGATACGATGACATGCATCAACCAAGTCCGCGAGCCTGACCACCTGATCCCGTTAGTCGCCTCTTACGATAAGCATGGGTTGCTGAAGACGAATTCTATCCGAAATCTTCACTTAAAAAGTATCATGATTCATCGATACTTATCAGTCCTAGAATAATTTGTCAGCCTCAAACAGACGTCTGTATCATTGACCCACACCAAGGCTACACATAGATCAATGTTATTATCAATTATTGAGTTTTCAACCTGTAACATGCGACGAATAAAACAGCGACACGGACTCTTTAAATGTAATGACAAACAACACAGACATAACCCCCCCCCCCCAGTGCATATAAACATCGCATTATATAGATCCGTATAATAGGCAGAAGGACCACTCCATGCACAGAACAAATCAAATATACAGTGGATGTCAGAATTTACAAACATCCCATTAAAGCCACTGTCCCGTGGAGTAGAGTTCGGCGAGTATATATCCCATTGCATGACTGGACCTGATCAGTATTCGGGTATAACACAAGACTGCTAGGACAGGCCTTTTAATATCCAGGGGTAGATGGGGGTCCTGGGCCTCAAAAAACGGGGAGATTGGCAATTTTTCAGGATATCTACTACGTTCAGAGAACAATAGTTTTTAAAGCCGGAGGCAAAATAATTTTACCATTATTATTTTGAGCGGATTACTTATATCACCTCCACCACACTCCCAGAATATAAAATGGGGTCCCTTATTACCGTTTAGGACGTAAACATTGTACATTATACACAAACAACGGTCGGACAATATTAATATTATATATCGTTACATTGGTCATATGCCTGAACAAATAAGTAAGACAGCTTTACAAACATGGAATATTGCATTGCTGTTAACTATAGTTTGTAACATACATGCTGTTTGTTTTTGTTTTGTTTTTGTTGTTTTGTTTTGTGTGGTTTTTTTGGGAAGGGGGGGGGGGGGGGGGGGGGGTGAGTTTGGATTTACGCCGCTTTTAGCAATATTCCAGCAATATCACGGCGGGGGACACCAGAAATGGGCTTCACACATTGTACCCATGTCGGGATTCGAACCCAGGTCTTCGGCGTGACGAGCGAACGCTTTAACCACTAGGCTACCCGACCCCGCCCCTCCATGGTGTTTGGTGAGGTGAAAGATGTGTTCAAGATTATTGCACTTATATAGCGACGTGCAGCCACGTTTAGAAGTTCGAGTACTAAGTAAGGATAAGATATATGGATGGTGTGTGTGTGTGTGTGTGTGTGTGTGTGTGTGTGTGTGTGTGTGTGTGTGTGTGTGTGTGTGTGTGTGTGATGTAACGTTTAGCGGTAGATGGGATTGTACCGAAGGGTGGGATAGGGGATCCTTGTTGCATTCAATGCACACGTTTATAAGCGGTGAGTGTAACTACGACTTTAAAATGTCTCATCACGACAAGTTCACACAGTCACGCTATACTACTGAGCTGGGTTCATATTTCAGACTTATTGACATAAGAATCCGTTTTGTGTTATTTGAACGATCGCGAATGTACCAGTGTCAAATATCACTTTTACTCCGCGCCGACTTGGCACGACCATGAGCGCAGTTGAAATGTAAGGCTTTTGGCTTTTGCATACAAAATGTCTTCTCATAGAAATTACATATGCAAACATGACATCAGAGACCTGTCATGTGTATTACGTTACATACAATACACACACCCTTACCAACAACTTGTACGGGCTAAGATAAATAATACTTCTGAAAGGAATCACAACCTATTTTCCTTACGAACATGTTACGCAAATTATTTTAATTGAATGTGGGTTCTCTGACAACAGAGACAACGAGAAACATTTGTTCAATCGATATCATCTTGGCACCTGAATACGGAGATTTGCTTGTAATTATCGATGGGCACCCTGTCTTTGCTTTCTTGACATAGTCAGAAATAACCGCATAATATATTACCCCAAACGACGTTGTGTCTGTACCTTGGTGTATTGTATCACGGTATTTGGATATTTTCACGAGCACCCATTTTCAAGAAGAGAAATTATCTTCATAATAATTAGTTATGCTGCACACCAATCCGCACACGATTATTGATGACGTTTTTTTTTTAAAATTTTATTTAAAAAAAAAAACACCCCAAAAAACAGGACGGGTCAAGGTGAAGCTTTTATCTGTCACGATGAACGACATGGTGAACAGTTAATAAAATAACTGTATTATTCCTTAAGGATCGGAAATGTTTCCGAACCTTGACAGCAGAATAGCTGTGGTTACATGGGGTATATGCATACTCTGATTGAGGTATAATTTGTCGCTTGATCTGTTATACATCGACCTGGGTGCTCCCCTACCTGATATAAAGTTTCTGTGAACACTTAATGTTAAATTCTGGGTAGACAGTATTACATTTCATACAAACACAAATAACGGAAGACTCACCGCTGTTGGAAGATGAAGAAAGATGAGCAGAATTCCAAGAACAGACGACATCAGGCCTGTACGCGAAGAAACTGAAGACAGGTAAATCAATAGTACGATGGCAGAGACAACAAAATAGTGTCCCTTGTCAACAGCTATCTGATGGTCATGTACACTACGAAATAAATCCACTGGTATCTCATAAATGCAGCCCTTTTCCTCCAAACGTCATGTCTCGTCTGCTTGTTGTGTTATTGAAGCCGCCATTTTGTTTCTATGAAACGCATGCCTCGTAACCTGGTCGATGAGAGCCTATTGTCACAGCGCGGCGGTGCGGAACGGCGTACAATAGGCTAATACGGTGTTCGAGCAGACAGTGGGATTAGGCAAGAGGACTGACTGGTTGTACAGAAAACACGCGTATTAACGAAAGATCACGGGAAATTACGCGTTACGGGAAAAGGTGTCTGTTAGTCGCTGTGTAACTAGGATTAGGGGTTCATTAGGTAGCTCTGACGTGGCTAATTACAGAGGAAACACGTATGTTTGTTTGTTGTTTAACGCCACACTCTGCAGTATTCCAGCTGTATGACGGCGGTCTGTAAATAATCGAGTCTGGACCAGACAATCCAATGATTGATATCATGAGCATCGCTCCACGCAATGGGGATCGATGACGTGCTTCAACCAATTCAGCGAGGAAACGTGGTTATTGTGCGTCGTTTTTGTTTTTGTTACTGTAGTTGTAGTTGAGTTGAGGTGCAGTTAAAGCTGAAACAGAAGGTGAGGTGAGGTGAAATGGCGTTTAACGTCGCGTTTACGATTATTGCACTTAACTAGCGACGTGCATGCACGTGTGTGTGTATAAGAGTATTGTCGTAAGAGGCAAATAACTGGAATATTGCTGAGTGCGACGTTAGAGTGAGTGAGTGAGTGAGGTTTTACGCCGCTTTTAGCAATATTCCAGCAATATCACGGCGGGGGACACCAGAAATGGGCTTCACACATTGTACCCATGTCGGGAATCGAACCCGGGTCTTCGGCGTGACGAGCTAACGCTTTAACCACTAGGCTACCCGACCGCCCCCGCGACGTTAGAAGTAATAGTAGTACCAGTAGTAGTAGATGTTGATGTAGTGGTAGCCGTAGTAGTAGATGTTGCTGTTATAGTGGTAGCCGTAGTAGTAGATGTTTCTGTTGTAGTGGTAGCCGTAGTTGTAGATGTTGCTGTTGTAGTGGTAGCCGTAGTAGTAGATGTTTCTGTTGTAGTGGTAGCCGTAGTAGTAGATGTTGCCGTTGTAGTAGTAGTAGATTTTGCTGTTGTAGTGGTAGCCGTAGTAGTAGATGTTGCTGTTGTAGTGGTAGCCGTAGTAGTAGATGGTGCCGTTGTAATGGTAGGCGTAGTAGTAGTAGTAGATGTTGCTGTTGTAGAGGTAGCAGGAAGAAAGCCCAAAACGACGCAGTCTAAGACGTTTATCAAACTGGTTAAACCCAGGGTGGTGAAACAGACCAACGATGATAATTGGTGCCAATCAGGGATTCGAACTTACGACTAGAGGGAGGCAACTCTACATCGAATTACGACGTGCTATACATAACTGTGACAGACGGGTTAAGCAGTTTAATCACAGATATAAATTAGCTTGAGCAATAATCACATAATATGGGTTGAGTCGACAGAAATGCTGTATGTACTTTATATTTTATGTTTCCCAAACAGATTCCATGAAGCTTAGGAAACGGACGTAATATATTTGTTGCTGGCGTACGTGTCTTTGAAAAAGATATTCTAAAAACCATTGTGGTTTTCGCGCCTCTTCTGCCTTATGGCTCACTTTCTGGGCGACACAGGCGAAGGTTGCAAATCCAATTCGGAAATATCAGCATTATCTGTTTGATTGGACATCCTTTAGTTAGCTTTGTGTTGTGTAGTATGAACAGAGATATAATCTGTAGAAAGGCCTTGCTGAGAGTGAGTGAGTGAGTGAGTTTAACCCCGCTTTTAACAGTATTCCAGTTATATCACGGCGTGTCAGCTTAATGTGGGAGGAAGGCCTGGAGTGATGCAAGTCTCAGACGTTTACCACTTCGGTGAAACCCACGAGCACGGGTATGGTGCTGACAAACCTAGAAACATAATCAGGGAGAAGCGGGATTCAAAACCACAATCACAGGTTTCGGGTGTGCCCAAGGGACGCAACTCTGCACAGCGAATCGCGGCGCCTCAGACGACTGGGCCACCCGTGCCCCCGCCTTACTGAGAGGTTCTTGTACGAAACGAAGGCACCGTAGAAACGATAGGATGACGTCACAAAAGATATATAATTTCATATCAGTCATGATCTTGGTTTGATCAGTACCAGTTGGTGGAGCGTTTGTTTGTTTGCTTGTTTCCTGTTATTGCCGCACTGAGCAATATTCCAGCTATGTGACGGCGATCTGTAAATAATCGAGTCTGAACCACACACTCCAGTGATTGATATCATGAGCATCGATCCACGCAATTGGGATACAATAGCATGCAGCAACCAAGTCAGCGAGCCTGACCACCCGATCCCTTTAGTCGCCTCTTACGACATTGTCAAGCATCACTCTCCTACCCAGAGTTCCATGCGACCAGCATAGTACCTCTGTCACAGACCAGCGACATATGTGACGATTCGTCACGTCTTGCACAGCCCTTTCAAGATATTGCATATGCTTTTCATCTGTTTCCAGTTTGACGAGTCTACAGATTTAAATAAACATATGTCAAAGAATGGTTAACTTTCACAGAAAGAATTCTAAAACGTGAAAAACTATTTCCGTTTGTGTAGTTTTCCTTTGTTTACATTAGTTGTACGGCTCCACGTGCTGTCATCGAAGCCCTACGGAGAGCAAGTGTTTGTTTGTTTGTTGTTTAACGCCGCACTCAGCAACATTCCAGCTATATGACGACGGTCTGTAAAGAATCGAGTCCGGACCAAACAATCCATTATTGAGACAATGAGCATCGATCTACGCAATTGGGATACGATGACACGCATCAAGCAAGTCATGCAGCGAGCCTGACCACCCGATCCCGTAAGTCGCCTTTTACGACAAGCATAGTCGCCTTTTACGGCAAGCTGAAGACCTATTGTACCCCGGATCTTCACGGGCACGCGTCATTTAAGAATTGACTTTAATATCTGTTTGCGTTTGCGGAAATATGAACGTTAAAACAAGTGTACAGACTGCGCCAACCCGAGTAGAACCATGACACGCAAACATATTGCTTGCACAAATCAGATTCTATGGAATCACTTGCTTTTTTTTCAGTGAAATTATAGCGTGTTTCTCTTCTTTTTGTAACACTGCGCGTATAAAAGTTTGATGAACGAAACTGCCAGAAAACCTGCTGGAAAAAGCTGCTCAAAGGTGAACACGCTGTGGAATCTGATTGAAGTTTTCATAAAATCCTTGTGTAGTTGTAACTCGAAAGATGCAACCGGCCACCGCTGAGTGAGCGAATTTGTTTGTTTGTTGTTTCACGCCGCACTCAACAATATTCCAGCTACATGACGGCAGTCTGTAAATAATCGAGCCTGGACCACACAATCCATGGCTATGATTGTCATCATGAGCATCGATCTACGCAAATGGGATACGATAAAATGCATCATCCAAGTCAGCGAGCCTGACCACCCAATCCCGTTAGTCGCCTCTTACGACAACCCTGGTCGCCTCTTATGGCAAGCATGGGTTGCTGAAGATCTATTCTAAACCGGATCTTCACGGGTCGAACTTATATGTAATGGCCATGATGCATTTTCACCAATTATTATGCATAATGTGTCACTTAACTGTACTGTTATGCTATGCATATCTGTTGTTTAACGCCGCACTCGGCAATATCACAGCTATATGACGGCGGTCTGTTAATAATCGAGTATAGACCAAACAGTCCAGTGATTGATATCATGAACATCAATTTACGCAATTGAGATACGATTTCATGCATCAACTAAGTCAGCGAGCCTGACCACCCGATCCCGTTAGTCGCCTCTTACGACAAGCATGGGTTTGCTGAAGAGAAATTCCAACCCAGATCTCCACGGGTGTACTTTTATGTACATTGTACGTTGATATATGAACCACTTTACAAAGCTTGTAAATGTCCATTATATACACACGGAAAAAGTAACTGTGCTTCAAATAGAGTTCACTAAAATATATTTATTCTGAAATTAAATAATGCATCTTTCAAAACGCATTCATCAAGACATCTCATGCATGGTGCACAGTTTGGATCTGTGTTTGAATGTGAACAGCACACAATGACTGATCAGCTCATAGGTGTTCATTGTCTTTTCTTTAACTGTAAATAACGCTGAGGCAATCCCACACTTATGGCAGTGCAGGGCAGGGCAGGGCAACATTCCCCGGCAAACAGGAAGCGTTGCATATTCCCCAGGCAAGGGAGTTAATTGACTGTAAAATTCCTGTTTCCACCCTTGCCGAACTGGGCTGGAATTTCTGGGCTCGATCGGAGCGCCACCGGTGGCTATTACGAGAGTTATGTCCCTTCTATGTCCGTCCCATAGACCAATGATATTCCACCTCTCATGTCACTTGCATTTGCTTCAATCGATAATCAAAATCTATACTGTAATATAACGGAGTCTTATTTGAGTCAAATTACGTGAGCACCTCGATTAAAAACATGTAAAGATTTGGCAAATACCTGTTGACGCAAAGTTGACGGTACACATGCTTTGCAAATCCTGCAATCGACCGAAATCTGCTCGACAGTTTACGAACCGGATGTCGATTTCGTTACGCGATTTTGATTGGACTATGCATAGACTCGTTAGTCCAGCCAAACATTTATAGTCAGTTATCTTCTTTGCCACGGGAAGGTGGAAGCGTTGGTATATTGTCACATTTCTTTTTTGTTGCGAAAAACGTTAGAAAATAACGTTGTAGCAACATTAAATTGCATGTTTTATTATCCCCCGCCCAACGAAGTTGGCGGGGGATATAGAAACGGGCTCCGTCCGTCCGTCCGTCCGTACATACGTACGTCTGTCTGTCCGTCCGTCCGTCCGTCATGTTTCGTTTCCGTAGCATAACTCATAAACCGTTCAATATTTTTTCATGAAACTTTGCAGGTCTGTCAGGTACATGCTGAACTGGTGCCCTTTGCTATTGAATTTTTTTAGAAATTTTTATTTTTTACGTTTCCATGGAAACAAGATGGACTTAGGTTCCAAACTCATCTTTTTTTTACAATTTCCA